GATACCCATACTGATCCCCAGTACGATAATTTCCCAGTACTGATACTCAGCGGTACTGATACCGTATGATCCCCGGTAGATATGTACTGTCCCCGGTATGTACTCAGTACTGATCCCCCGGTACTGTACTCAGTACTGATACCCAGTATGATCTCGTATGATACCCAGTAACTGATACACAGTACTGATACACAGTACTGATACACAGTACTGATACCCAGTACTGATACTCAGTACTGATACCCAGTACTGATACACAGTACTGATACACAGTACTAATACACAGTATTGATACATAATACTAATACAAAGTACTGATTCACATACTGAAAACACAGTATTGATACATAATACTAATACAAAGTACTGATACACAGAAATGATACATTAATACTAATACACAGAAAATGATACATAATACTAATACACAGTACTGATACACAGTACTGATACATAATACTAATACACAGTACTGATACACAGTACTGATACATAATACTAATACACAGTACTGATACACAGTAATGATACATAATACTAATACACAGTACTGATACATAATACTAATACACAGTACTGATACACAGTACTGATACATAATACTAATACACAGTACTGATACACAGTACTGATACATAATACTAATACACAGTACTGATACACAGTACTGATACATAATACTAATACACAGTACTGATACACAGTAATGATACACAGTACTGTTACACAGCACTGATACATAATACTAATACACAGTACTGATACACAGTACTGATACACAGTACTGATACACAGTACTGATACATAATACTAATACACAGTACTGATACACAGTAATGATACACAGTACTGATACACAGTAATGATACACAGTATTGATGCACAGTACTGATACACAGTACTGGTACACAGTAATGATACACAGTACTGATACACAGTAATGATACACAGTATTGATACACAGTACTGATACACAGTACTGATATACAGTACTGATACACAGTAATGATACACAGTAATGATACACAGTATTGATACACAGTACTGATACACAGTACTGATGCACAGTATTGATACACAGTACTGATACACAGTACTGATACACAATAACGATACACAGTACTGATACACAGTAATGTTACACAGTATTGATACATAATACTAATACACAGTAATGATACACAGTACTGATACACAGTATTGATACACAGTAATGATACACAGTACTAATGCACAGTACTGATGCACAGTACTGATACACAGTACTGATACACAGTACTGATACACAGTACTGATACACAGTAATGATACACAGTAATGATACACAGTAATGATACACAGTATTGATACATGATACTAATACACAGTACTGATACACAGTACTGATACACAGTACTGATACACAGTAATGATACACAGTAATGATACACAGTACTGATACACAATACTGATACACAGTAATGATACACAGTACTGATACACAGTACTGATACACAGTACTTATACGCAGTATTGATACACAGTACTGATACACAGTACTGATACACAGTAATGATACACAGTAATGATACACAGTACTGATACACAGTAATGATACACAGTATTGATACACAGTACTGATACACAGCAATGATACACTGTACCGATACACAGTACTGATACACAGTACTGATACACAGTATTGATACATAATACTAATACACAGTAATGATACACATTAATGATACACAGTACTGATACACAGTACTGATACCCAGTACTGATACCCGGTACTGATACCCAGTACTGATACTCAGTACTGATACCCGGTTCTGATAATCAGTACTGATACCCAGTACTGATACTCAGTACTGATACCCAGTACTGATACCCAGTTCTGATACCCAGTACTGATACTCAGTACTGATACCCGGTACTGATACTCAGTACTGATACCGGGTACTGATACTCAGTACTGATACCCGGTACTGATACTCAGTACTGATACCCGGTACTGATACTCAGTACTGATACCCGGTACTGATACCCAGTACTGATACTCAGTACTGATACCCGGTACTGATACCCAGTACTGATACCCGGTACTGATACTCAGTACTGATACCCGGTACTAAATACTCAGTACTGTTTACCCGGTACTAAATACTCAGTACTGATACCCAGTACTGATACTCAGTACTGATACCCGGTACTGATACTCAGTACTGATACCCAGTACTGATACCCAGTACTGATACCCAGTACTGATACTCAGTACTGATACCCGGTACTGATACTCAGTACTGATACTCGGTACTGATACTCAGTACTGATACCCGGTACTGATACTCAGTACTGATATCCGGTACTGATACTCAGTACTGATACCCAGTACTGATACTCAGTACTGATACCCAGTACTGATACACAGTACTGATACACAGTACTGATACACAGTACTGATACCCAGTACTGATACTCAGTACTGATACCCAGTACTGATACACAGTACTGATACACAGTACTAATACACAGTATTGATACATAATACTAATACAAAGTACTGATTCACAGTACTGATACACAGTATTGATACATAATACTAATACAAAGTACTGATACACAGTAATGATACATAATACTAATACACAGTACTGATACACAGTAATGATACATAATACTAATACACAGTACTGATACACAGTACTGATACATAATACTAATACACAGTACTGATACACAGTACTGATACATAATACTAATACACAGTACTGATACACAGTAATGATACATAATACTAATACACAGTACTTATACATAATACTAATACACAGTACTGATACACAGTACTGATACATAATACTAATACACAGTACTGATACACAGTACTGATACATAATACTAATACACAGTACTGATACACAGTACTGATACATAATACTAATACACAGTACTGATACACAGTAATGATACACAGTACTGATACACAGTAATGATACACAGTATTGATACACAGTACTGATACACAGTACTGATACACAGTACTGATACACAGTAATGATACATAATACTAATACACAGTACTGATACACAGTACTGATACAGTAATGATGTATAATACTAATACACAGTACTGATACACAGTAATGATACATAATATTAATGCACAGTACTGATACACAGTAATACATAATACTGATACACAGTACTGATACATAATACTAATACACAGTTCTGATACACAGTAATGATACACATTACTGATACACAGTAATGATACACAGTACTGTTACACAGCACTGATACATAATACTAATACACAGTACTGATACACAGTACTGATACACAGTACTGATACACAGTACTGATACATAATACTAATACACAGTACTGATACACAGTAATGATACACAGTACTGATACACAGTAATGATACACAGTATTGATACACAGTACTG